TAGTAAGTAAAGCTTTATTGGAGCCCAGCCATGCTTATTCATTTACCTATGGTCTGGGCAGCTCTGATGGCAGAGGTGAGAAGATGAGACAGACGCCCCCAGCTCACAAAGCCTTAAATATTTGCTATCTGACTGTTCACAGGAAAAAAAGAAAAAAATCTGCTGACCCCGCGTCTACACAACAGATTCTCAAGCTGGGCTGCAGTTAGAATCTCCTCCAGGCTTTCAACAAAATGCAGCTGCCTGGGTCCCACCCCGGCCAAGAGATTTTTCCTTAATTGCTTGGGTTGCTCTAAATGTGATCGTTTTAAATTAGCTGGCTGCTCAGAGTTGAGACCCACTAGCCTAGATTGAGAAAGCTCTGGTGGCCTAGTGGTAAGGAGCTGTGCTGCTACCCTTGTGCAGGCGGTTCAAATCCACCAGCTGCTCCTTGGGAGCCAGCTGGGCAGTCTTCTCCCGTGTGATTAACTGCTCTGAAAATCCGTTGGAGGATCAGCTGTTTAGCTGGTTTTGACTCGGCAGAATAAAACAACAACAAATACAGATTGAGAGTGTTACTGTCACTTCCAGCAGCTAGGAGCCACCCAGAGTCTGTGCCACGAGTCTCTATCAGAAGTCCCTTTATTGAGTGGCTGGGAAAGAGTGTGCCTTATCTCTGATGAGAAAGTGTTGCCGTGCCCTGAATTCTTGTCTTAGGTGGTGGTGGTGTACTGCGTTATCAGTCATCAGTCTTGCCAATGTTCTCTCTGAAGCTACAAGCCCATCCCACCAAGACTGTCTCCCACTGGTTCTTTGTTTAAGGGTTCTCGTCTGCTATCTGCTCTAGGAAAAGGGCCACAGCTCGGATATTCAGCTTTTGTTTTCCTTGACCCAGCATGTTGGAGCAGGCAGGAGAAGAATAGATGATGCCGTGTTTTTCCTGCATAATAGCTGGCAACCCTCACACTTGTGCATGTGTTCACCGAAAGATAACTCTCCAGGTGGTGCTAGAGAGAGATCTTGGAGTCTGGTGGCATCTTGCACTACTTCTGTAAATTGCCCTGGACTGGGTTTCATTTCCTTCTTTTGAGCCTTTTAAAAAATAAAAATAAAAAGTCGTGTCGTCACTTCTTGCTTTGCTGGCCTTAGTTCCTTACACAGGCCCCTTTGCCCCTGCTTTGATAATTGGTACCTCTCAGCCTGGAACCTGTTGGGGCTTGCTGCACTTTCTCCTGGAGCCCTTTCTTCTCCCTTGAGCAACCCCTACAGTGTGGGTTCCTGGGGCATGTATGCGCGCGCGCAGAGCCCTGTAGGACAAGATGACAGAGAGCCCATCCGTGAAAGAGGACGACTGGCCCATGGGCGCCTATAGAGAGAGGAGACATGTGTGTCAGAGAAGGGAAGACATTTGCAGACATTCATTCATTTGCCCCTTTCAGAGACTGGTAAAATGTAAACGCAAAGTAAATAGCAGAATTTGCAGTTCTAAAATAAAGAAGCCAAATTCAATTTCAGCTACTTCTTTATGTTGGAAAGCCTGTTTTGATGAAAGGATCATGGAGACCGACCTCCAGGAGCCTGAGGGAGCTCTGGACCCCGGTCCCTCTGGACAAGTTGTAACTTCAGAGTCACTACAAAACTCGGTCTTTTAGCTAATAAAATGGGGAAATCTAATCACTATTTTTTCTTTCTCCTAGTCTATTTTATGAGCATAGGTAACATAAGTGTGAAAGATACCCTATAATAACACAGTGTAATATTTTACGTTGTTGTGGTCCAGCAAACTTAGAACTTCGTTATGATAGGCACATCTCATTCTATTGTGCTTCCTAGATACTGTGTTTTTTTACAGATTGAAGGTCCGTGCCAACCTTGTATTAAGCAGGCCGATCAGTGCCATTTCCCCCCAAAAGCACTTTGTGTAACATTTTGGTAATTGACACAGTATTTCAGACTTTCACCCTGTGTCATAGCATTTAACAGACTAGTCTAATGTAAGTATAACTTTTCTGGACACTGGCAAAGAAACAAAGGAGAAACGGGGGAGAAGACGCTATTCTCCTTCTTGAGGTGGTCTGGAACCCGTCCTGCAGTATCTTTGAGGTCTGCCTATCTGTCATCCAAAACAGTATTGCATACCTGAGCAGATAATGAGGCTATCTGATCACTCACTGAGCTCAGGGGTTAGCTTCTGAGGCGGAAAGTCTGGCCTCTTTTGGGATAGGAGATGGCAGAAGAAGCAATTTCTTTTTATAAATGTGCTGGTGTGCATGCTGTTATAAACAGGGCCTGGGGTTCTGAGCTATTCTTTGGGCTTCACACATTGTTTTATTTTATTTACTGGCAGGTAGAAAGAATGGGGAATTTATATTTATAAATGGAATTATGCTATTAAAAGTTATGCCACTGTTCACAAATAGCCTTAGCTGTTGAAGATCAAATCTATTCACTTAGAAACAAATTCTTTCCTTCCCCAAGTCCTAGAACTTTTGTTTTGAGGATTTAACAAAGGTAATATAGTCTCCATATAAGTAAAATTTATTTTCTCACTTAGGAGGGTTTCAGTCATGAGTAACAAAAGAGATTCTCATTGGCCTGGAAATAAGGAATTCCTGGTCATAAAGCAAAGCCTTCTGGAGGTCGGGTGGGTGTCCTCATTGGTAAATCCATTGCTCAGTGATCTCATCGGTTCGTTAGACTCCTGCTCTAGAATTGGTGTGCCCTCTGCCTCTCCTGGCAAAGATGGGCGCTGGGCAAAGCCAAGGTTCTTAGGAACAGAAATAGGGGAGCATTTGCTGTGTAGAGGACTACAGTACCCACGACACCTGTGTACATTTCAGTCTGTTGACCAGTATTTCCCTTGAAATAGCACAGAGAGAATTGTAGCCATTTCAGATAATTGTTCTATGTATATTTAACCCTGCAGTTAACTCAGTTAAAATCTTAGTATTGAGAGTACTTCCTACCCTTAATGAGAAAGAGTCATCTTCTTCAACCATAATTGACAGGGTTACTCACATACAGACCCTAGATTTTTTTGCATATTCTTCTTCAGTTCCAAATCTTTAAGCTCTTCTCTGGGAAACTTCAGTCCCAGGAGTTTAGCTGGAGGTTTGTTTCAGTAATTTCCTTCTCTTAAGGGCATTGTGTGAGGTGTTGCTTTTGTAATAAACAGAAGCAGAGAGACAAGATGGAATTAATAGAATTTGGAAAGAGACCTTCTAGTCCAAGAAGAACTTCTACGTTTAAAATATCTTCCTCCATGCTTTTGAGAGAGCACAATTCTGAATAAAAGACAATTTGAGATCTAATTGGCAAACATTTAACTCCTCCAGATCTTTTCTTCTGGTAGATTCTGTTGTTTGAAATTCTAAGGAGGCTTTTAGTAACAAAATGTTCCAGAGAACAGTTTTTAAAATAGGGGCTATACAAACTGCTCAAATTAACTTTGAATTTGGTTCTAATTGAGGCAATTAAATAATCCTACGATTTAAGTGACTTGGTGGCTTTGTGGATGAAACTCCTTTCCAGTATAAAGCTGGAAAGTGAGTTTGAATTCGTTTTTCGTTGTTGACACCGAAGGATTGGGAATACATATAGCCCTTGGTATGCAGATCAAAGAAGGAAAAGAAGGGAGGTGATGGTGCAGACCGGCCCTTCCGGCAGGTGGAATTTACTGATGAAAGCACCCAGAAGGCAGATCACCTCAGAGTGGCGTGATTCCTGAGGAGGGGCACAAGGAGGGGGGCCCCAGCAGCTAAGACAGAGAGGCCAGCCCTGTGAAGCTGCAGAGAAAGGAGATAGCACCAAGAGAAAAAATATGGCAGAGAGGTGAAAAGGGTGGTAAAAGTCAAGATTGTTAGAAGCTTGCAAAACGACTGCAGCTCTTGTGGACGCACTGAAGTCCGTTAAAGGTTCTTTGAGTGTAAACAGCTCTGTGTGTATTTCACCCCTAGGTCATAGCTATTCACAATATTGATGCTCTGACCGTCAAGACAGTTTGAGTCCTGGGCACTGTGCTGTGGTGCTTTGGCTGGATGTCCATAAGAATCAAGCCATCAGAGCCCAAGTTTGCATGCTGCAATTCAGTGTGTGTGGAAAAGACCAGCTTGGGCGGGATGAGGGGGACACAGCCTATTCTCAGGTCTGCCACATAGGAATGCATTGCTATCGAGTTGTCTTTTCCATTTTCAAAATTTAAAAAAAAATCTTCTAAAATGGTTTGTGTGTAAACTGTGAAGAAAAATGTTTTAAAAATCATTTGGAATGGAATACTGAGTGTAAATTTCTAGAGACTTCTATATATGAGTGCGTTTTAACCCTGGCGATCCATGGGGTGACAGGTGTTGCAGTCAGATTGCCCTCACGTCCTATATATGAGCACATTTGAAAAGAAAATAGGCCTCTGCCGGGGAAGGAGGGACAATCTCCTCCTGTACCAGTCAGATCTGATTTGACGGTACACGCACACAAAAATAATAAAATTAAAAAAAAAAAAAGAAAAGAAAATAGGCATGAATTCACCCTGTGCCTGCTTTCCATACCATCATCGTAGCTTTTGTTCTTGTGTAGATGTAGTTTTTAAATGTGCAATAAGGAACTGTGGGGACACAGTGGTTAAGTGATTGAGTGCTATCAGAAAGGATTCTTAGCCACTCAGCAGCTCTGTGGGAGAAAGACCTATCTGCTTCCACAGGAATTACAGCCTTGGAGACTCTAGGGAATAGTCCTTGGTCAGAGACTCTGAGTTGAAATGAACTTGTTGGCATATCACAGATGTCCAGTGGAAAGAAACAGAATTGTTACTTATTTATTATGTAGAGTCATGTTGAAATGCCTAGTGCAAAAGTCAACCACCAAGGCAATTTGATGTTGTGAAATGTTATTTAGGAAGGAGTTCTACTTTATTCATCTGAATCTTCGAATGAATGTTTTAGTAGGATGCCTCTGAAGTTCTTGTTTCTATGATTTACCTTATTTTAAAGGATCCCTTACCAAATCATCTTTTTTCTTCTGTTCAGCCTTCTCTGGATATTCAACAAATACGAAATATGACCCACACCAAATTAAAGCAGAGATTGCAAGTCGTCGGGATAGGGTAAGTAAAAATAATGTGTTCTCAAGGAGAAATGGCATATGCATTTTTTTTCTATAATTATATTTTATTAATTTTCATAAACATTTACAGAGATTTTGGGCTTCCACTCATTCATTGTTGCACTATTCTCTCTACCCTCCTCCCAGTTTGTTCTTGTCCAAATGCCACACTTGTCAAAGCCAGTTCTGATTAATCTTCTTTGTCAGTGTGTCCTTTTCCATTCCCTATCACTCCTCCCTGAGAGAGACTTCACCCTGAGTCATAAGGAAAAGGGGATGGCGTATTCTCTTAGCTACTTCCTGCTGAAAAGGGACGCTGTGGGTTTCAGGGTGAAGATCTTCTCTCACTACTCTAAAGGGCCCCTTTGGCAGTAGGAAACACATAGACTATTATGGAGATTGATTTTGGAATTTAGATGCACTCTTATTGATTGTGCTTGGCCGTATATGTTCATATCCTTGAAGATGTATCATGGGGGTGTTGCAACCTAGAAGACACAAATTTGACTAACAAGTTATAAGTACATGAGTCCAAAAATTATGGAAAAGTAAAAGAAAAGATTCTTTCATTGTTTTACAAACCCTCCCCCAGGTCCCCTCCACCATGTAGCCCTCGCTCTAGTCTCCTGTGATGACAGAAATACCCAGTTATATCTCTCTTTTAAACGGTTCTCTCCCTCCTCTGTTTCAGTGCAGTATACATTATTGAACCCATCTTACTCAGTCTCTCCCCAACCCCAAGGACAGTCCCATTCTACAACAGTGGCATCATGTAATATTTGTCCTTTTGTGACTGGGATATTTCACTCAGCATAATGTTCTCCAGAGTCAACCATTTTGAATAATATTGCATGAGTTCCTTGTTTTTTAATGCAGCATAGTATTCCATTGTGCGAATATACCACAGCTTCTCTAGCCATTCGTTTGTTGATGGGCACTTAGGTTGTTTCCAACTCCTTGCTATTGTGAACAAAGCTGCAATAAACATGGGTGTGGGCATATGCATTTTTATGTAACATTTCCTATCATGGTTTGGTTAGTTATGGCTACTTTGTTTTAGAGCTGATAGATTTTTATTTCATTTTGTCTCTTAATTTCTTTCAGTAAGAGGGAAAACATTTTAATATCTTCATTCATATAACAAAAAAATGAGCCTGTATTTCTCACCCTTATTTGATGACACTGGGGCCTGGTTTTAGAAGGCTCTGTTCTTTTTTTTTTCCCCTTCTTTTTTGATGAAAAGATACTCAGCAAAACCAGCTCCCATTCCTCCAGAGTTTTTAGCAATAATGATCAGCAACATTGATGACATTCTTCACATTGTATCAACATTCTCCTTATTCCTAGTCTAGTTGTTTTTATTCCATTTATTTCATCTCCCTGTGGCCCACACATTCTCATCTATGCTTTAAAAGAGCTGTTGATTCTTTGGAGTACACACACACACACATATTTAACATATACATGTGTAGTATATATTTAGACTAATACTAATGGGTAATAAGTTTTACCCTTTGGGATAAACTTTTACTTAGTTTAAAGGTGACTTCAGGAGGTAGTTTCAACTTAAGCTTTGACAAGCAATTCAGGACCATAATAACAGAAACTCCATCCACTTCAGTAGATCTAGTAGTAACCCTCTATTCTTTAAGAATTTGAAGTACTGCTCCACATTTTCCTCCCTTTTGATCAGTATTCAACTATTGTATCCTGATCAGAACATTCAGTAGTGGTGGCCAGTCACCATCTATTTCTTGACACAAGGTAGAGGAAGCAGTGTCATTCATGCAGATGATTAATGCTGTAGTCCAGTGCCTACTCTGATAATTCAATTTCCTTCTTTCTCTTTTGTTCCAGATAAATAATGACCTGTGGTTGTATCTTACATAGCCTCTTGAAAGCTTTAAAGAACCCAGACACTACACACCCTATAGGGAGATAGAACATAAACTTTAAGAAAAAGAATATGCTAACTGACAGGATTTGTTCCAGTACACAAGGGCCCTCAGAGAGGGCTGCATTCTTGTATTACCAGAATGGCAACCTTGACCTTTGGCAGACTCAGCATCTGCCATTTCTCCCATAATCCTTGATAGAGTGTTCTGCAAAGGAATTTGACCAGAAAAATTCTAATACTCTGCTTGAATTCTTTGTGTGTCACCTTGATTCATCACAGGGTGCCTGGGAAAAGGGACGTTTAACACAGCAGACGACTAGGAATTCAAGGGATCCCTGTCTTATATGTATACCGGGTCTATTCTTTAATGGACTGGTTCTCAAATTTTAGTGAGCCTAGGAAGAACACCTGGAGAACTTGTTAACAGCATACCTCCAAGGCCTATCTCTTTGAGTTAAGGTTGGACTGAGTGAGTCCCAGAACTTGTTTGAACAAACATCCTAGGGGATTGAGTTACAAGTGGCCAGAGACCACAGTCCTAGAAACAATGCTGAACATGTGTTCTCTATGAGTAGTAAGAAGAGGTGAACAGGAAGAAAGTATTACAAACTTTGCTACATGTAAGGTACAAATCAATATCTTGAAAAAGAAAATTCTTGCCAGTTCTTCCTTGGGTAGAAGTCCATCAGCGGGCCAGGATGGTCATAGGGAAACAAGCCATTTCTTCTAGATTAACGGTTTTGTGGGCATGGAAATGGAAGTTTGTTGGAGGAAAACCCCATAATCTACAAAATTGCATGTGAGTGAGAGATTGAAAAGACAATTTTGAGGGGGGGGCAGGAAGGGGAGGAAGACAGTGTTGGTAACTGTAGAAAAAAAATTCTTCACAGCTTGTTTTAAAAATGAAATAAATGCATGTAATTTGTCTTTAGCTTTCCAGATTAAAACGAGAGCTGGCCCAGATGAAGCAGGAACTGCAGTACAAAGAAAAGGGAGTGGAGACTCTGCAGGAGTGAGTAGCCTGTGTCCACACAGGGGGAATTTTCCTGTGATTTCATTTTGTGCTGACTTGGTTAGCATATGAACATAACTGCTAAAGCTCATCGATGTTCTTTTAGGCTTTTATGTATCTACCCATCATTTCCCAGTGCTAAACATTGGAATATCTTTTCTCACTGAAGATAGTCAGTTCTTTTAAATGAAAGTACTTGGGAAATGAGACCCTTACTTTTATATTTTTGCATAATCTCAGTAGTGGCACTTTAAACACACATCTGGCAATTGGAATTCCCTTTTTTGTTTAATTTTATTGTACTATCTTTTTTTAAAAAAGCCCTTTTTTATAATTTGAAAATTTACAGAAAAAATAGATTTTCCCATTCAATAATTCATATTCATGATTCTTTATATTGATTGCAGCTTGCACATTATAACGGCAACGTTTCCACTTCCTCCCTGTGTTTCCTGTTTCTATTCATCTTTTCTTCCTCTCCCTTCCTGCTTTCTGAGCTTTATCCCTGGACAAATGCTGCCCTTTGATCATTTATGGTAGATTGCTTTTAAGAAGTGCATTCCTCTAGTGGCCGCCTGACAGACTTGCTGCCTGTTTGACTGAAAGATGAGTCATGGGAATTAGTTCAGTTTCAGACTTGAAAGGAGTTCTACCGGTCTCTATTAGACCAGTAAGCTTGGTCTTTTGACTGATTTTGAATCCTTTTTCCCAATTTCCTCCCACTCTTAGCAGGGACCTTCTTTTGTGATCCCTTTTAGAGGAATCAGCAGTAGTGGCTGGGCACCATCTAGTTCTTCTGATCTCAAGATGCCAAAACTGAAATTCATGTTATTATCTTAAATTTCTATTTTTTTTTAACTTAAACTTTAAGTTCACCTAGATTAAGTAAAATTTAAAATATACAATTTAAAATGCCAAGCCTCCATAGCTGTACCTCACACCCTTAGTCGGTAGCCCTATGTAGTGAACACAGGCTTTCTGGGCCTTAGCAAAAATGATGTTTTGAGCTGGATAACTCAGCTGTAGGGGGTTGCCATGTACATCATGGGATATCTGGTGTCATCCCTGGTCTTCACCCACTAGATTCAGTAGCAACCTCCCCTCCTTCTCTCCCCCTTTGACTTGTGACAGCTTAAATTGCACAAATGGCCACATGTCCCTTAGAGGGCATAATTGTTCCTGGTGTAGAACCACTGGGCTAGTTAGTGGCTGCTGCGAAGGACCATCATTGCGGAAGGTTCCACTGATCAGTGATGGTCACTAGTTCTTCCTCTAACTTACACATTTAGATTTAGAACTGTATCCCTATGTAAGAGTTGGGGGTGAACTTCTTAACATTTGGTGAGCTGTTCACCTCACCAAATGAATGAATAGAAGTTGTTGTTTTTAAAATGGTAATATTATTGATCTGAAAGAAAATACTCTTAGGGAAGGGTATGGCATGCTTGCTGAGTAAGACTTTTTCTGTCTCAATTCAGCAACTCTACTCACTTTCTGAATGTGGGCTGTGCTCCCCCCTTTTTGTGCCTGTTTTTCTCACCTGTACATAGTGATAAAAGACCGTCCTCCTTTACTGCCCCTCCACTTTCCAAACATCAAGCGTTTTTCCACAGACTAGCCCTCCTCATGACGTGTCCGAAGTAAAACAACGTGCTCTTTTGCATATATGACCAAGTAAGACAACATGCTCTTTTCCTTGTATGACCAAGGATGACAACACGCTCTTTTGATCAGGAGCCATCATTTGGGGCCTCTCCATTTTCCTCATTTGAAGACAAAGGTGGTATTTGCCAAGTTAGTTTCGAACTGAATGTCCTAGAAAAGCAACTCCAGGATGCTCAGACGACTCCGAAAGCTGCCTTCGCCGGGAATGGCCAGAAGGGCATTCATCTTTGAGGAGCAGGGCTGGGGAGGATGGAAAGAGCGGCCGCCCTGCTCCAGGGTAATAGACCTGGAAGCAGAACCAGTGCAGGGCGAGTGTGAAGTTTACACTGGCACCTAGAGCGGAGTGTGGGTTGTGCCCCTGGCAGAGCAAAGGGCTAGCACCCTTGGTCTTCTCTTGCTACTTTCATTAGCAAGCTCCCACGTTTGGGAGCAGTGACTGTGAACTTGGTCCCTGTCAAGGGGGGCATATCCTCCTGCCTGCCAGAGCTCATAGGATGGCCTCCCCTGAGAAGGGCATAGGGTAAGGTTCTGGCCCTGGCCTTGGTTCTGAGGGACCCACACCCAGCAGTGCATTCTCATGAGGGGGGCAGCAAGAAGGTGTTCCAGACTGAGAGGCTGCCAGAGCCATTGGCGAATCTGCTCTTCGCCTGAGCTCCATTGAGTGTTGCATTTTCTCCCCTTTGAACAACATGCATTCTCACTGTACATGGTTGGTTGATTCTCTTCCGCAACCTCACAGGAATGAGACAGCGCTCTGACACTTAGCCTGCTCTTTAAATTCTTTGTAAGCGAAAAATAATCTGTTATTCTGCCTGAGTTACACAGGCTACCAGACTAAAATTCCCTCTCTGGCATCAAAGATTGGCCCTTTATGTTTGGTAGTTACTTTGCAAGTCTAGATTATTTATTAAGAATTTTTGAAAGCAAATTTTTCAGCCTTGAAAATGTGATTACCTCACCCTAATCATACCAGAAAAGATGAGCTCCTGAACTCCAGCAGACGGCTCTGACTTTATTATGAACATCAATTTAAAGCAAAAGCCCAGGTTCTCCTCCAGAAATTTTTCTGCTGTTCTCGCTTCCCAGAATATCCAGGGTATTCTTTCCCAGAGCACCTCACCAGGAGTTTGGCTGCTTATAAGATTTTTAAACTCAACTTGTTTATCTTGGTGAGTGTTCCTGGCTAGCAGGGGAGCCCTCTTTCTGCTTGGGTCCAAGGGAGGAAAAAAGAACCTTTTGTATGTTTTAGAAAAATCTATATATGTTATGAACTTTGTAGAGGGGAGCTGGTCATGGCCACATACACTGGGTTATGGTAAAATACATATGTGTGTGCATCATGTGTGTGTGGCTACACTTAAAAGAATTTGAAATGTGGTGAAGTTTATGATGACAAATTGCCATTTTAACCTTTAACTCTTTGGTTTTCATGTTAACTGTTTTTGAAAGTATACAAGTCTGTGACATGCATCACATTCACCATGTGGTGTAACCATCACCACTATCTGTTTCCAGAAGTTTCCCATGGCCCAAACGGAAATTTGGCGCCCCTTTGGCACTAACTCCCCATTCCCCTGGCTCCCATTGATCTACTCTGGTTTCTGTGCATTTGCTTATTCTAGGATTTTCACGTAAGTGGGATCCTACAACATTTGTCTCTTTGTGTCTGACTTTTTTTATTCTCCAGCTAACATTTTAATGATGGAAAATGTCAAACATAAAAAAGTAGACTAGTTTCCTGAAGACGTACCCCTCACTTAGCCTCCATGATTGACGACATGTGGCCAGTCCTCTTTTGTCTGTTACCCCCCTCATTTCTCATGTTCCCAATGCTTTACTTTGAAGCAAATCCCAGACTCATACTTAATACAGGGATATATCTCCCCAAATTATGGTCTTTTGAAAAAAAAAAACAAAAACCAACCCATAACTATAATCACACCCTTAGAACACATACCCACCAACCAGCCAGTCAGTTCTGACTCATCAAGCCTTTGTGTGCTAGAGCTGTGCTCCACGGGGTTTTAATGGCTGATTTTTCCAAAGTTGATCATCAGACTTTTGCTTTGAGATGCCTCCGGTGAACTTGAACCTCCATCCTTTCAGTGAGCATCCAAGCATGGTAACAGTCTGTTCCCCGCAGGGACATCCTTACACTTAAGAGCAGTTCCCTATTAACCCTCATCTCCCCAGGAATGTTCACATTTTTCCAGGCTTATTTGAATCAGGATTTGAATACAAATGCACACATTGCATATGGTTCAAGTGTCTCCCACTGTCTACTTCTCAGCTCTTTTCTGTTTTATTGAGGAAATGAATTGGCTTTTTCCGTAGTATTCCCCAGGAGCCCTGGTGGTGCAGTGGTGAAGTAATAATTGATTGCTGGCCAAAAAGCTGGTGGTTGGACACCCACCAGGCCTCTGCGAGAGAAAGATGTCGCAATGTGCGCCTGTGAAGACCACAGGCTCGGAAAGCCCGTGGGCAGTTCTGTTCTCTTCTGTCCCACAGGCTCGCTGTGAGTCACAATCAGTTCTGTGGCAGTGGGTTTGGTTTTCAAGCTTGGTAGAGTTTCTCTCAGAGTAGATTTTGCTGCTTGAATCTGCATGGTGCCTTTTAACATGTTTTCCCAGCTCCTGTTATTTGCACAAAGTAGAGTAGTTCCAGAGTCTTGATCAGATTCAAGCTTGATTTTATTTTTGTTTTTTCTCGTCAAGGATGATTTGCAAGTGAGGTATTCCTTCCATCCAGGTGGCACGTGCTGTGTTGTGTGGTTGCTTGTTTTATGATGAGAAACGTGGAGCCCTAGCAGACCTTTTAGAACCTTTCCCATCAGCAAGTCACCTAATGTTTTGTATGCTTATCTTTGAAGATAAGTTCCTGAAAGTGAGATTAAAGGACTAGAGAACAAAGCCCATTTGGTTTTTGTAGATAATGTCAAATTCCCCTCTGTAGGGTTATTCTCAAGATTCTTTTGAAAAGTAGAAAAGAGTGATTGATTGATCAATAGATAGATATTTATTTTTAATAGTTTTTTCAATTATTATTTTAATGAAAGTTTACAGAAGACTTGGATTTCCGTTAATTTATTGTTGCACATTTTCCTCCCTACCTATGTCCGTTCACTTTAAAGAAAGTTCCATCATTGTTGCATAATTTCCTCCTTTCTCCTATCCCGGTCCACTTTGCTATGTACCTCTTATTCTAGACTGTTGTCAAGCAAATAATGCCTAATCATAGAAATAGTTCTTTCTTACATCTGTTCCAATGCAGTGTTCATTATTTATTCCCTCTTTTCTTAGTTTCCCCCCAACCAACCTGTCTGTCTTGTTGTCCTT